TACTCGAAATGGAAGTAATCCCAAAAACTATGAAACAAGAGATTCCTCGAAACCCAACTTTTCTTCATATTTAATTTAATATACTAGAGACAGATATGATGTATAAGTAGAATGGGTTTTTTAGAGCTACACTGGAAAATTCTGTAATATTTATGCTGAATCTGGCTTTTTATAGATTTATAATTTCATCAATCCGTTCTCAATCAGTTCAAGAACATATGATCCAGGATGTTTGCCAATTAGGTCAAATCGCTTATCTTGATAAATCATTTTAAGGGAGCTGAAGGGCCTTTGGCTTTGTAGTAAGGAAATAATGAAGTCCGCTTTTTGTAAACTTTATATATAATTATCCTACAAAGATTTTTTCATGGTGGATTTTATAATTTCTGGTACATTTTTGCACCTTTTTCGAATGCCAATGCCCTTTTGGCTCAGCGGATGAGCAGCATTAATGCTGTCTATGTGATTTGCGAGACTGGCGCCAACGTTCGCAAAGTTGCAAATGCAGTGGGCAAAGATTATCGGATTTTCCCTAAATTTCTTAACGCAAGCATGGGATTCGGAGGTATCTGATTTTATAAAGATCTACTTAACATAATTAGTTGACCGGTGGAGTGGCAGGAATAATAATGGTTGATGAGTAAATACTGAACGAGTTGATGAGTGGAAAATAGGTTGATAGATGTGGGGATGCATAGGTGATAGAATGTTGGCTAATAATGAGATGCAGCTTTACTTCCGACTGGCAGACTTATATTCTACTTATATCATAAACCTGTTATCCTATTATTTCAGTCATTGACTCTATTTGATCATACTGCAACGCTTGCTGACCTGAGTCATCATGTCTGTCGGAAAGTTGCTTCCAGTGCTTCAGGTATTATGTACCTCGAGTAATAGGTCCCTAGATTTATTCGTGGTATCTCACTAATATTCATCATTGTGATGTAGCATTCGTTTTAATTACGTTCGTGCATTGATGTGTGCGAAAATTCTGAGTATGTCCATGATCGATTATTAATACTGGAGTACTACATTACTCAGTGATAAATATCTCTTTCGATGTCTGTAAATACGGCCAGTTTGCGAAAATCGAACCAAGATATTAACTGACTCAGCATTCAGGAAGAATTAGACTCTATCAGATCCTCATAATGATTTATTTAATTAAAACTTGAATTCCCCAGCGTACTTTTGTCTTACCTATGTCTCAATGTACTCCATTAATCAATGTATCATAGATTTGTGGGTTTTATCATCATTTAAGATCCCGCTCGGCTACATTTACTTATATTATTCCAATAATAATAAGCCTTCTTCGCTGCAACCAAACCAAGGGTCACATCCCACTTAAATATGGCATATGCCGAGTGACCAAAAATCAATGCGTCATAGTGTTGCGAGATAACATGCTGAATTGTCAAGGTTCGATTTTCGTTGGGGGTGTTGATAAGACCTATGCGAGGTCGAAACTGAAGTCCACTTCAGCCTGGATGAGAACACCTTATGGGAAAGCAGGACCGTGAAATTCAATGGAGGCATCAGTTTTACTCATATCAATATGGAAAAATTCAGCTATCAGTCCTTTATCATCATAAATCTATTATGGTGTACACATCTCATATAATTAGTCAAAGGGTCGAATTCACTTGTCTATTTGACGAGTTGTGTAATGGCAAGGCTCGCTGACGATGCCGGTGAAACGTCTGAGAATGGACCAAGCTTACGGCCCAACTCAGGAAATTATCATCCATATTATGGATTCCGGACAAGCTGCATTCTTCTATGTCTTCCTGTCAATATGACCAAGTTGTGAAAACAAGGTAAAGCAACTTACAAACAATTTAAAATGTATAAAATAAGAGGTATGATCAGACAAATGTTTATGCTCAACTCATTATGTTTTGCTCATTACTTAAATTAAAAGGCCCAGAACAATTTATTTACGAACAGAGAAAGAAGGATGAGGAAACCAAGTTGCTAGGCTAGATATTAAAAGAGTGGTGCAAAACAATAGAGAAAGTCAAATTGAAGGACTAAAAGCTGGAGCAGTTACCTCTGCATGAAATCGTTCCTTGCATGGCAATTTAATTGACAGGGAGATTATAATTACCATACTGAACACGATTACGTTAAATGAGGTAGCATCTGTGAGCTAGACAGCAAGGATAAGATTGCTATGGGATAAACGCCCAGATTGAAGCAATTAATATACAATCAAACAATTTGCACTGATCCGTCAATCTGATCACATGTTGTTCAAATGCATTAAAAATATAATTCTTATATTAACCTTTTGTAAAAGGCAAATAAATGTATTTCTGTATATTAAAGAAAAGTAAGAGTAAAGGAATATCACAAAATTACGCTCCAATGAAGAAAAAAAATTATACAATAAGGGGATATAAAAATATATAAAAAGAATTTATAGATGTTGATTAACAGGTAGATATATAATTCCTAGAGCAAAGAAAGTTATATGATGATAATTAAAATGCCTTGATTATACTGTCTCGTGATAAAAAAATCGATAGTTGACTCCCCTTTCATAGAAGAAGAGCAATACCCGAAACCTGAAACAAAATCCAAGTGATCGAACGCTGCCTTCAATTTCGATTAGATATCCGATAGCTGAATATTACTGAGCAATATGTCGACAGCTGAAATATATCTAGCAAATCTAATGAATTCAACTAGCCAAAGAATACAAATCCATAATGAGATATTCCGGCATCAATTCGATACCGAAGTTAATAGATCTGTTCGACGCCGACAGACTTGATCCACTTGATCAAGAGAACCGATCGAGGATTTCTGATCTGCAAGAGGCTCCCGTGGCTTCGCTGTCAAACTAAGCGGAAGTGAAGAAACGCCAGGTCTCTTAATGAGAGAGCGGGCCAAAGGCAGAAAAGTATCGGTCCAGGTCAATTGATCTGCCCCTTTGCGTGGTCGAGGACCCAATTTAGCGCGCCGACGTTGGTACATGTACCGCATAAGCAGATAGAAACCTTTATAAACATTTTGAAATATAAGCGTGAAAATTAGCATGGAGTTATGAAAACATGTCGTCAAGGGACGTAATTTTTGGGAGGGCATATGGGAGAGAGATATGGATCTGAAATATGATGACAAAGATGATAAACAAGTAAATCAAAAGTAGTGTACGAATAAACTAATTTTAAATGAAAAATGCCTTTGCTTTCATAAAAAAAAACTAAAAAAAGTCGTCAACAGGTTTACTCCTAAGAGACTTGAATTCGCGTTAAAAATAAAAAATAAAAAT